AATTGAGTCACTATTAAAACATATAAATAATTGAGTCATAACACAATTATTTTTAAGGATTTTGGGAATTGAGTCAATAGCAAAATAATTTATACCACATGTATAGTTCCATTTCACTATACCAGTTGTCTTGAAGATTTTTGAGTTTCTGAGTTGGGACTTACTTGCGATAAAGAGAGTAAACTATTTTTCTTGTTTAAAATTACCATAAAAGAAAAGTTTTTAACAAAACGGACGTGATCAGAAGAGAGTTTTATGAAATATCAATAATTATATATTATTGTTTTATAATATAAGTAAGAATTACAACAAATCAAATTAGTTTAAATTTTAACTAAATTCAATTCAATTTATTTTTTAGATATATAATTTGTATTTGGTTTGGATATAATATAACTGGTTTGATTCAATACAAAACTGATTCAGATATAATTTTATTTGATTTGTCTTGTATCCAATTCGATTCATTTAATAATATATAAAATTTATTTTAATTATAACTATTTTTATATATTTCAATTAAAGCATGTTTTTTTTAATTTAATTAAAAAATTATTGATCTATAAATACATGTATTGTAGCATTGCAGGTTTTGAATTGTTAAAGTTATAAAAATAGAAATATTATTGTTATAATTACCTATATTAAAGCTATAATTGTTAGATATATAATTGTTAACTTGCAGCTTTAATCTTATAATTATCATAATTGTTAAAAACTGACTGTATTGTAAATCTACAATACATATATAGATACAAATTAAGTATACTATTAAACAAAAATTGAAAAATACAATTGAATACAATCAAACTATATATTAAAAATTTTTTTATCAATTTTTTTTTGTTTGTTACTTTATTTTTGACAAGATACAAATGTAAGTAATATATAATCGATATATTTAGCTTTATTAATACCTGTAACATTTATTAATTTTATCAATTTTATATACCATATTATCCCAGTTATAAGCATTCTTTTTTAGGGGTTTACATTAGATTTATTTTTGTGGAGGTGCTTATAATCAATATAAATTGTTTTTTTTAATAATTTAATCAATATCGATCCAATTTGAATAAAAAATATACTATTAAAAAGCTCTTATTGAGAGGAATCTAATAGTATAATTTTTATTAAAATCTAATTATTATATATCGAGATATATTAATTTTTGTGTTTTTTTTTAAATAAAAATTATAGGAGTACTTATAACTGAAGAGTACTTATAATCAGAAGAATATGGTATTTATTTTCTATCTAGTTATCAGTTTTTTTTGCTGTTTGTCACTTACTATTTTTCATTTTATTATCAACAAAATACAAAGGTAAGTAATATATAACTAGTATATTTAGCTATATTGATACCTGTAAAATTTGTTGATTTTGTTAATTTTAATAATTTTTGACTTTAATACTTGTTTTCTATTTAGCTATTGACTATTTTTTTTTCTTACTTGCCATCTTATACCAATAAAGTACAAAGGTAAACAACATATAATTAATTTATTCAGCTATATTGACACCTGTAATATTTATTGATTTTATTAATTTTATTGGTTTCATATATTTATTTTTTATCTAATCGGAATTTTCAATATATTTACTTATAAGTAAACATTAGTTATATGTAAAAACATTATTGATATTTACTGTATAAATATTAATACTTGCAAAAAAATATATATAGAAATATGAAGCAGATTTTTAAAAGTTGTAAAGTTGTCAAAAATAATTGATCTCTTGCTACAAAGGATAAGTAAAAAGAAAAAACAAAATCAACTAATTACCTATATTCTATATTGAAAATTGCTATATACATTCAGTGGGAAACCCTGGATTAGTGCAGGCAAGGTATATTCATTACAAGAATTTGCTTGTGGATATTGAACAATATTAATGTTGTCTTTAGTAAAAAACCCTAGACTAGTAACCTATGTTATATTGATTTGCAGCCAGGTATATTATAGCAATGTATGCCATATGCCTTCAGTGGAAAACCTTGAATTAGTACAAGCAAACTATATTGTTAAAATACTATTTATAATTATCAATGTTTTGATATTGCCTTTAATAGAAAACTCTGGACTAATAACTGAAATTTTTATTAATTGCTATGTTTACATGCATGTTTCCTATGTTTCAACTATAAAAGTCTAACTGCTACAAGTAGTACAATTGATAAACAAGTATTGATATATACAGGGCTATTGATTATTTATATTCCATGTAGCAAGGTTCTATATGTATATACATATTAAATTGTTTTTTTTATCTATTATTAAAAATCTTTATCACTACTTTACATTTTCTTATATCACAAAAAATTAATTATTAAATAAAATATTTTTCTTTTTTAAATGACCATATCCACAATTTGTTAAGTATTTGCTTGATCATTTCTGATCCTACTATTAATTTTTACCAAAATATAAATATATTAAAAGTTTATATATATATTTTTAAATTTATACGACCTGTGGATCTATAGTACAGTGGTTAGTGCTCTGCAGGTCAGATCCTAAGATAATGGTTCAAATCCTTCAGGGGTTAACATGAAACCTCAAACCAAGAAAAAAGAATTAACATCTTCTAATTACTATCACAAGATATCAAGTTCAGTTTCAAGTGAAGACAATTGGACTGTCTTAACATGATATCTGACACCATAACCTAATATACACTGTTTTCTATAAGAAGTCAATTCATATGTTGATTTAACGAGCATTAGAATTGTAATACCAAAAAAGGCATAGCAGTGTAATGATCATCTAGCAATGTTACGATAATCATTGTCAAGTTTGGTGCTTTTCCTGTTTCTTATGCATGGAGCATGTTTCTTTACCCCTTTAGTCTACGAGACTATAAAAGAAACAACCTGATTTTTTAAGAAGACCAAGTTAAAGCTATAAAGATTCCTTGTTGGATATGACTAGTCTATAGCTGATCGTATTAGGATTTAGTTCTATAAGTTTCTATTTATCAGATGATGAGTGGAACTGGAAAGTATACATCCTGGTACATTAACATTCTACCTATGCTATCAGGACCCTGGTGTTGATAATATAAAAAGAATAGAGGGTAATAAGCCAACCGGTAGGTAAAATCATAAGAACTTTCTCTAAGTAGTTTCATTAAGTAGATAGGTAATAGTCAATTTTCATAAAAGAAAAAATACATGTACTATAAATTCATATCTAATAAAACAAGATATACACTAGTTATTAAAAAAAAAATTAAATTATTTTCATAAAAAATTTTAATATATTAATATTAAATCAATATTTAAATAAAATTTTATATTGAATATTTGTTTGTAAAAAAAGAAAAAAAAAATTAACAAAAGTTTATTATATATATAATAATCAAAACAATAAATTTATTTAATATATAATAGAAATAGAATAAAAAATATATTTTTGATTTATAAATTAATAGAATAGTAAATAATGTTCTTAAATTTTCAAATGTATATTTTTAATTTAATATTTACAAGAGATAAAAAATATATATGTATTTATTTTTTATATTAGATTTATTGATCTTTTTATTTTTTATTTTATAATTTTTAAAATATATTTATTATAATAAATAATAGATCAATATATATATATAAAAGAAATAATTATAATTAAATATTATATATTTTAATATTAAATATGTAATTAGTTATATTTTTATAAAACAAATCTTATTTTAATATATATATTATATAAAAAAAACTTGAATTTTATAAATACAACATAATATATAAATCAATTAAGATTAATATAATAATAACATAAAAAAAAAATAATAATAATGAATAATAAAAAAGCATAGAACAATCATATATTTATTTATATTGTTGTTATAATATCAAGATTTTTATTTATGTTGTTGCTATTTCAAATATATAAAGTGATTATTAATACATATTAAAAAAAATTTTTTTTTTATAAAAAATTTTTTTTTTATAAAAAAGTAATGTAAAGCATAATATATAAAAAAATACTGTATAGAATAACAAATTAATATAACAAATTAATGTGTCATCTATGTAGATATAGTATAAAAAAACAATATAAAAGTTAAAATAACACAAGAGTTAGATAATATATATTGTATGCATATTATCAGAAAGAAAAAAAAATCATAATAATTTTTTTTTTTGCAATCATGATAATAGTAGCGGGTATTATTAATTTAGTCAATTTTATCTTTGTCATCTGTAAACAATTAGTTAAAATAAATGTATTGAAAAAATGTTTAGGTTATGTCCAGACGTCGTTACGTATCAGATACAGACGGAGGTGGCGATAAACCTCGGCAATCTGATTGGCTGGCATAAAATCTGCAGCTGGTATTGATCTGACTCAGGACCGTAGAAAATCATTAAATCAATTCATTCGGAAAATAAAACTCAGAAACAGATAATTATTCTTAATACTTGGTCGCAACCCAAACATACGACGCTATATCAACTTTTTGTCGCCAGAAAAATGACCTCATCTCTAAGCTTTTTCCCTTGACCCCATGACCAGAGGAACAGCTAATTCGCCAATAAAATTAGTTCTTGATTCACATAATTGAATAGGTCCGACCCTTAGACTTTTTTTATTTGACTGAGGCTGTTTACAAACCAATTTTTTTCACATATACCCAGAGTTTTCCTTTTTCCTGATCTTTTGGTGGTCACTTAACTCTCCTGCACACCAATCTTTTTATTTCCTTCTCACTAGTATAAAATACATCTACTTTCCCTTTCGCAAATTTTATTAACACAAAAAAATTTTTCAGCCTTCAACAAAAACTTTTTTTAGCAACCACCCGAAAAGTTTACCCTTTCCAAACTTTCAGAAAAAAGAAATAGGCTATAGTCATGGCTCGCACTAAGGTACTTTGAAAAAACTTTCTTTTCGTTTTGTCGCGGGAGATTGCAAACTTATCGTTTCTCTCTTTATTTTCGTTTATTTATTTATTTACCTATTTTATTTATTTATTTATTTACTTACTTACCTACCTACCTACCTATTCTATTACCTTAGCAAACTGCACGCAAAAGTACCGGTGGTAAAGCTCCCAGGAAACAGCTCGCCACCAAGGCAGCTCGTAAGTCAGCACCAGCTACCGGAGGAGTCAAAAAGCCTCACCGTTATAGACCCGGTACCGTTGCCTTGCGTGAAATCCGTCGTTACCAAAAGAGTACCGAACTTTTGATCCGCAAGTTACCTTTCCAACGTCTCGTTCGTGAAATCGCGCAGGACTTCAAGACCGACCTGCGCTTCCAGTCAAGTGCTATCGGCGCCTTGCAGGAAGTATGTACCATGAAAATAATTATTGGATTCTTTAAGCATGACTTTGTCTTCCTTATTTATTTCGCTAATTAACAATTTTTAATTAAAATAGGCAGCTGAAGCATACCTCGTCTCCTTGTTTGAAGATACAAATTTGGCAGCCATTCACGGTGAGTCTATCTCAATGAATGAATGGTTTTACCGACATTGTTGATATTCACACGATCAACAAATTATCTTTCCACATTCCTTCTTGCGTCTCTTTTTGTATCACTAACATTTTCTATCAAATTTATTTATCAATATAGCCAAACGTGTCACAATCCAACCCAAGGATATTCAATTGGCCCGTCGTCTTCGCGGCGAACGTTCTTAATTCTCTGTAATCAACCAATTTAATTTTCGCATTTTTTTTTTTTTTTTCAGCGACACATTTTATTACCTTTGCTTGGTGCACATGAATATGTATTTACCGTTACTACCTTAAGTATTTAGTGTGGCGAAATTACCTATCATCTTTTAAAATTTATAAAAATATATCTTCTCGCTTGCTTATAAAACATAATAGTCTCTAAACATAGATTGTTCAGTGGGACAACTTCTATCATTGTGCGCTTATTGTTAGTGAATAAAAAAAAATAAGTACAGATATAATTTAGTCCATGCGCCTAAAGATAAATTTTATTCTCCTGCCCGAAGTTGCGTGTGATGATCATCAATATATTGAAAACGGAAAATGCTAAAGAGAATTTAATTTTTGGATCAGGCGTGGCATCAATTTGTGATACCTTTGCTTTACTCCATACCCAAACAAAAATTTCCGTTTTTGTTTATCACCTTGTCGAACGGTCAAAGAAATTAGAAAGAGGGGGCTTTGACGAATTCCATTTAGAGAACGGAAGTCGTAGTACAATGCAACGTTTCATTATAATCTGTAACCTACCTCATTCCTAATCCGGAATCTGTTAATGTGATGTTGATACCTAAAAAGAATAAAATTATCCTATTAGGCTTCTTACCAACTCAAATGAAAATCTTAAATAGACCTTTATTAGCAAAAAAAAATATAAGACGCTGGTGACACATAATCTTCTACTCACGTAACTGACTGCGATGCAATGATCTATTATTAACCTCGTACCACGGTAAAATTATAAATATGCATTGATCTAATTTAGATCGTTAATTCTTGGTTTTCTTCTACTTTGTGTATCAAAGAGTAAAGTTTTATCTTTTTTTAAATCACAAATTATATACTTGATGCAACATGGATAATTATAACGAATACGATGAAATGGCCTACAAAAAAGCAAAAGAGGATTGGGTCACGGGTCATGAAGGTGGTTCCATGTGGGAGATCAATTCGGTTTCAGGAGTTGTTTTGGTAAATCCCCAAAGACTACTATGATTTCCATTTGTTGATGATTGCGAAATCGAAATTCAAGCGAGAATTTTCATCACAACAGACATCTTATATACTGTGGGCAGCAGCAGCCAAACACACGAACATTTTCAAGTATTCCACAAGTTCCATCATCAATCTCTTTCTTGAATACGTATTGATCGTATTACCGAGCCTTCTCGCTTGCACTCTGCTGGCTGACTATGCGTTCTACTTGAATGTTTTATTGTTAATTTTAACCGGATTCATTATCAAGAATTCTTCGATACCCGAAGATCAGAAGCCCCAAAAGAAAAAAAAAAAGTGGGACAAGGACTCGGATGATGAGGATGAAAAATTGGAACAACTACTTGTCAAGGGTGATACATCAGATCCCGAAAGTTCCGGAATTAATTCGGACAATCTTGGGAAGAAGCCATTTTTAAGTGTATATAGGTCAAGCATGATTCTTTTAACTTGTATCGCCATCCTGGCAGTGGATTTTCCGGTATTTCCTAGAAGGTTTGCAAAAGTCGAAAGCTTTGGAGCTTCGTTGGTAAATGAATAGAAATTTCTCGGAAAATTTGATGGATCAAAAGTATCTGTTCCGTCTCGTCTGAATTTTTGCGTTACGTTAATCCAGTCGAAATTAAAATTATCGTGTAGATGGATCTCGGTGTTGGATCATTCGTGTTCTCTTCGGGAATCATATCCGCAAAGCCATTCTTAAAAAGACCAGAGAATCGGTTTAAACCTTTCAAAGGACAACTCGTTAGGGCGTTCAGACGGTCTCTTCCCCTTTTGGCGCTCGGATTCATACGTATGATGATGGTCAAGGGCGTTGATTACCAAGTATTTATTATCAACATCCCTGAATTGTCTTTCAAGGTGTGTGATTCCTAATTGATTCTTTCTTTTTCCAGGAACACGTGTCAGAATACGGAAAACATTGGAATTTCTTTTTCACGCTCGGATTATTACCTATTTTGGTCACCATATGTAGAACGGTACAAAAATATACTCGATTTTCTTTCGTCGGGTTGGCCGTCGCTTTCTGTATGTATATAGTGAAATTTTTTCCCTTTAAAAAAAATTTTTTTCGGAATTTCTTGTTCTGATTTTTTTTTATGTTTAGTCTATCAAATCGCTCTCTCATGGTTTGGATTACAAGACTATATACAGTATGCGCCCCGCACAAATTTAGTTAGCGCGAATAAAGAAGGAATATTTAGCCTCTGGGGTATTATTACATTCGTCTGTCTTTTTCGAATTTCCATAACTCAATCCCTGACAAATCATCTATGTGCATTTTCCTTCATCAGGTTATCTATCGATATTCTTATTAGCCCTTGATGTAGGTCACTATGTATTACCGTTAGACCCGTATTACGCATTTCGTCCCAACCGCAAACATGTAAAAAGACCCAAGCAAGATAAATTACTTATGCTTCTATTCTCATGGGCGATACTGAGTTGGATTGGATTCATCTTTAGCCTCGCACTGCAAATCGAAGTTTCTCGACAAATGGCAAATTTGAGCTATATATTATGGGTGGTGACTTTTAACACGACTGTTCTATCAATGTACCAAACGATTGAAATGGTATTTTTCTTTAACTATTGGAAGACCGATGAGAAAGCAATGCCAAAAATTTTTGAAGCCATTAATTCTAATGGATTACTGATGTTCCTTCTGGTGAGTCCTTTTTTTGAACTTACAGTATCTCATACATATGATATTAATGATTTAAAAAATTAAATTCTTCTGTTCGTTTTCAGGCGAATATCTTAACAGGCATAGTGAACCTTTCGATACGCACACTATATGTTAATAATTTGGTTGCCGAGGGTATACTAGCAGTTTACATGTTAATCATTTCAGCGGCAGCAATGTTGTTTTTGGATAATGGCATAAAAATAGGGTTATAATGAATGCTTAAATCGATAGACTTTTCCAAAAAAAAATAACATGAATAAATGTTACGATAGACGTACAACGTGCATTGCCGCGGGATCTTGTACACATTATTATAGACTGGATTTAATTTAATCATTACTTGTTTTTTTTAAATCAATAAACGTTTTTATTTATTTTTCTTTTTTAATTATTTGTGAATTAAAGGAGGACTCATTATTACTGATATCATTTTTTGATAACAATAAAAATTGATAAGCTCTGTTATTTAAGTTTTAGAAAGTGCTTTGCTAAATCAGTTTGCAGGCCCAATACTTGGTGAATTATGTTTTTGAATTTGTAATCGATGCTTTTTTTATCGCTTCCATGATTCTATACATGTGGAAAAAAAGGTCAGATTGCCGAAATGTCTTTAGACTCATCCAAAGGTAAAAGTGCACCCAAAAGATTCATCTCTCATGAATTCCTAGCAATTTTGGCAATTAATGAAGAATTACAACAAAATGCATTCTCCAGACTCGACTCATCCTATAATCTTAAAACAAACAAAAAATAATCTAATAATCCATAACTTAATGAATTAATACAATTCGAGATCAGCTTTTCTACGAGAATTTAGCAGTTGCGGTTTGAAATGAAGCCTCTTAACAAATTTTATGTAAAAGGTGTGCATCTTGCTTATTCCCAAAACTATTGCAAACACTATACTCCGGTTAGGAAATCGATCAAGCTCCGCGGTTCATTGTTTTCGAAATAAGGAAGTCTAGACTTCAAAGTGCAATATATTGAAATTTATAATAACAAAAAATCTTTTTTATATATTTTTGTAAAACAGTTTGTAATTTTAAAATACTGTATAATAAAATTATTAAAAAAAAATCAATTAATACTGTAAATGTTAATAAAAATAATTAAATTGGATAAAGACTTATCATAATATTATAAAAATTTATATTAGGTTAAGTATAAATTATATAATAGAAAAATATAAAAGTGATATTGAAATATTCAAAAATAATAATATATAAACAAAATAAATATTATATAATAAAAATATCTTTAAAATTAGATTATTAATTATTAATTAAAATAGTAATTGCTCCCACCAACACTACCATATTCAATTCTACAAAAATTACCTAATTATCAATGAATGCAAAGTAGAATTCACTAGTGCCTGTTTGGCTCCAAGCAATATCCTACTAGCAATATTTGATATTATTCAATAGAGTTTTCAGTACAATATCATTGAAGTCAGAAACAACAAAAAAATCCTTCAACCAGTATTAGCCTATCCTAAAATAATAATCAAAATTAACTTTTCTTTCTTAATTAAAAAAAAAACCAAACATAAAGCAAAAATTAATAGAAGTTATATACATCAAATCAAAATCCAAACCATATACAAAATAAGACAATCCAATGAAATAATTCTTTATCATATTTCTTAAAGAGTTTTCTAATCAACAATACATGCTTAAACAATAGTGTCAGATAATACAAAAAAATTTTCAATATCCTTAGAAATTATATGATTTATGAAAACTTTTTAATTTTTCAAATCTTTAAATGGTGTCACATCTAAGGATGGGTCCCTAAATTATTTAGCATATAAAATTTTACAGATCAATTATGTTCCTTTTGAAGAGATATAATTATTTATTCATTATTTTAATAGGGACATAATTCTAAAAACACTTGAATCAAGTGTTCTAAATTGTAAAAAATTTTTGTAAGTAGTTTTTTTTTAACCTTATATTTAAAAAAAAAACTTTTTTAATAGTAAGGAACATTTGAATTATGTCCTTGCCTTTAATTTAAAACCCATCTTTAGTTACATCCTATATGACTTAAAAGTCATCAATTAATTTAACAAAAATATCAAAAAATTATATAATAACAGCTATAATTATCTAATAACATTTAGAATCAAACTTCTTTCAAGAACTTTTCCAACCTATCAAATACTTTATTAATATTATTTTATCCAATATTCAGATAGGTACTGTTCTAAATATAAATTCTGTATCAAGGACATTCAATATGTTTTCAAGTATTCTAAAGTCTCAAAAGAGACCAGCCAAATTATAAACAATATTAATTAAATCCTTTATCCAGACAATAATCTTAAACTAACTTCTTGTATATGACAAGTAATATAAATATTATATGATATAACTGATAGAATCTTTTTCATAGCAAACATTATTAATTGAGTTAAGGCATCAACAGAATCTTTAGTTTAATTATACAACTTAATTTGAAAACTACAATATAATATTATCAATACTTTACTCCTCATTGATATCAAGTGGAATCCAAGCAAACCACTAAATATTACCAATCCAATTAGATCAGAAAGAAACTATATTGTCTTTACAAAAAGCCCATATTCCAATGTCATTCAAAACAAAATTATTATTGATTTATTTATGATAATTACTAATTCCTTTATTTAGTATAATTATAATTTCTCCAAATGTATTTAAAATCTAATATTATCTTTTTCAAGTATTATTTTCCTTAATACTGAGTAGGTATTCATAGTTACTTAGTACCATATAACAAGATATATTGTTTTAAAATTTCTTTTCAATACTAATCATATAGTTGTTATAAGCAAGCTAGCATTTAACTTATTGTATTAACATATACAGATGTTGTTTCTTTTTTTCCCTAGCAAGTAAACATTATTTCTTTATTCGTTATCGTATACTGATTATATATACATTTGAGAAAGAAACAACATCTCTTGGGTACATATTGCATATAACAAGTTAAATGCTAGCTTGCCTACCGATCACTATCTAACTAATATTGTAAAAAATTTCAAAAGCAATATTAAAATATTAAATAGTGGAGTAATGGCTATGCCTACCTACTCAACAAAGTTTTGTGAAATCTTTTGATTTTTTTGAATATAAAATATATGAAAGAAAAAAACAACTATAGTTACTGCAACTAAAACTAAATCGCCTAAACTATAAAATCTATATAAACAAAAAGAATATCTAAAAGGTGGCCAATAGTCCGGCCCTTGCACTGGCGCTGGTCTTAGAGACGTAACCCTTGTTGATACGGATAGTAGAGTATAGATGAAGTTGTTTGTTGTTGTGGTAGTAGTTGTTGTTGTTGTGATATTGAAAAACTGGTTTAAGCAGGTTCAGTTTTTTCTTTGTTGTTTTGATGAAATCTGATTGGATGATTGGAGAGCAATGATCATCTGGAAGGGGTAAACTGATTTCAGTTTTTGAGAAAAATTTTTGGAGAATTTTGGAATGGCGCAGTAAATAGCATCAAGGTAAGGTTGTATGTGAAGGTTGTGTTGAAACAAACAATAGACTCAACAATATTGTTTAAGTGTGTTTTTAGGAAAATATTTGATTTAGCGAGTATAATGGTGTTGATGTGGATGGTTTTTATGATATAATAAAATAAAGGAGGAGTACAAGAGAACAAAAGAGAAAAGAACTGCCACGGGCCTTTCCTCATGCAACCGAAGGATAAGCAAGACTCCCAAACTTGAGTAGACTTCGACCAGAGGTCCCATCCCACTGCACTAGCTGTCTTGAAAGTTCTTGAGTTCTTGAGCTGGAGCTCACTTGCTATAAAGAGTGTTAAATATTTTTTTTTGCTTAAAATTACCATAAAAGGAAAATTTTTAGCAAAACGGATGCGATCAGGAGAGTTTTTTTTTTACAGATGTTGTTTCTTTTATGATATATATCTTGTTATATATAAACAAAATAAAGAAATAATGTTTACCTACAAAAAAAAAAAAATTAAATTAGTAATTGCATAAATAATTATCTTTTGTAATATACAATTAATAAATTAATTTATATTATTATAAAATTTAAATCAAATATATATATCTTTTTAGAAAAATCATTATTTTTTATTATTATATAATAAAAAAAAAAAACCAAAATACCAATTTATTATATTTTATTCATAAAACATATTAACAATAACAAGACTTTGAAACAAAGTACAAATATTACTTATTAGTATTTAAGTATACTTTAATTATAAAAAAATATTATACTTTATAACAATATCTTAATTAATAATAAATCTACATTCTATTATTAAATATCAAATATATATTTTATAGTTTATATCCTCTATATCAGAAACAATATAACAATTAGTTATTATTTACAATCAAATTCAATTTAAATAATAAATTCAAATATACTATATATAAATAAATTACTTATTAATCAACAAATATATATTAAATAAATAATCCGTAATATTAAAAAAAAAACTCTTTCCTACTTCCTTTCTATACTTGAAATTTTTCTTTTTAAAAAACTTTTGAGTTATTTACTTTTTTTGCTTTTTTCTTTTCTTTTCTTTTTATTTCTCTTCTTCCATATCAGTTTATTTTTTCTTCCCTATTCTCTCACCTCTCTTCTATATACTCTTTTATTTACTCCACCCCTTCCCTTTCTCTTTTCCCTTTTCCTATCAAGGTTAGGTTTTTCCTTCTTCCTGAAAGATTTCTTTCTAGGCCTCTCTCTCCTTTATAAACTCTGCTTTCCATAACATTACTCTTTTGACCAGTTAGCTTTCTTTTCTCAAGATCATATTCAAAAGTGATAACTTCTCTCAAGACGTGAGTTTCAGAATTTTTCTCTCTTCCATGGCCTTACAGAAAAAGGATGGATGGTTTACTCTTTAAAAAATTGGCATGGTTATCATTATCAAATTCAATATTGTTTACTTGTTGATGGTTAGACTAGATACATCTAAGAAACCGGTATACAACTATTATTATCTGAAAGTATCTAAGAAGTTGCACTCCATTGTATCCAAAAAAATATTGTAACCAATGCCAATGAAGTTAACAATAAGCTAGGTTAGTATGCAAGTGTCATACTGGTGATTGGAGAAGTCAGTAGGATAATATGTGAAGATTAGAGATTCTAGTTACCCTTGCAATATAAGCTGGTAATGACAACGAAAGTTTCTTGCTTACCCTTCTGACAATATAGGCTCATTGTACAAGGTTAAATATTAACATCTTTAAGAAAATCCAATTCCACTATACATTCAACACTTTCCTTAACAAATCACCATATTATGTCTAACCTATTCTTTACACTTTCTGGTTCCATCTTATCCTAAAACCAAGATATACCCTCCAAAGCTACTCTGACAATAAAATTAATTGTCGCCTCTCAGTCTACAGTCCTAGTAATGAGTTTCAAAATGGGAGGTCTATACTAGGTAAAAATGGTGAAATATTAATGTTGCCAAAGAGTTGCATTAGTATTAAAGAAAATTGCTACTTTTTAGCCTTTAGTTTTAGCGATGGATTCAAATGGAGAGTCAATGCTAGGTGAAAATGGTAAAAAATCTGCTTTATTTTGGTATATTTGGAGTTAGTATAGCTTGGAACCAACTCTTACCCCACTTATCATATATCAAGTTACAGTTGAAAAACAAATGTGCTAATTCTAATTATGACTTGAAGGCCAACCTGTATATAGTAACTGCAGTGCCTTCATATAATTAGGTAATCAAATTCTCTAGGTAGCTAGATACCATTTAAGGCATAATATAGATTTTGATTTTCCTTTTTCTATATTCTTGAGTATTACTAAAAAGCTTAGATGAATGGGCTGCAATTGTAAGTCTTGCATTAAACTCTTCCTAGCAAAGAAAGATGTATACTATATCATAAGGTTGTAAATATTGTATTTACAAGTCTAAAATTTATAATAAAAAATAATGTGTAGGGACTGCCTGTTCCTTTAAAAAAAAAACAAACAGTAATATTCTAAACAATATAAATTTTCAAACAAAAATTATCTAATATTCTTTATTTATTAGAATAAAATTAATATTAATTTTCACAGTATTAATAATAACAATAATATTCTAAACAAAAGTTATAATTTTTACAAATAGTTAAGTAGAAACTAATAGTATTAATTTAATTTTAAAAGATACAATCAAATCTATTAAAAAACCAAAAAATATTTACATACTTAATACTATTCAATAAATTATCTTTAATTGTAATATTCAATTAATACTTATAAAAATCAAAATATATATAAGACTTGAATACAATAAAATAGTAAATAAACTTGTCAAAGAAACTATAATATTTAACAATATAATACAAGTTCTTATAAATAACAATAATAACAAATTAAATATTTTATATCTTGTTAACTAATATATTTATTAGTTAGAAATTTTTATTAAAACAGAAATAAAAAAATATCTATTTATCAAATATATCATATAATAAAAATTATTAAATTATAAATCAATAGATTTATAGTATAGTAGTTAATATTCCACAGGTTAGATTACAAGATATGGATTTAAATTTTTCAGAAGATTAATATAATTTTTCTAAATAAAATATAAATAGATAGAATTTGTATCTAGCAATCTAACCAATTAACTGATGTTTTCAAATATGGTTACTGATCTATATAAAATTGTAATCTGGTTAAATGTTTGAGATTAGATAGGATTATTTCTAATATAATCATATTGATTCTGATAATTGGAATTAAACAAAATTATAAGGAATTGCATAAGATTTGAAACATTATTAAAAATAATGATGGAATATACTTTATCTATTAAATTTAATATAAACTTGAGAATCAAATACAGAATTGAAAAAAATCATTAGAATTCTTAATAACTATATTATAGTGAGAAGAAAGTTGTATTATTATATGAATTGATATCATAATAATCTCAAATCTCTAAAATCTGAGATATTTTTATTATAGTTGATTTTTCTTGATTATAGTAATTATAACAATTATAGTAGAAATAGTTAGGATAGTTAGAATAATTATTATAATTGTTATAATTTTATTATAATATTAGCATATATATAAAGAAAAGACCAAATCAAATAAAAGAGAAGGAACTTTTGCAACAGAAACTAAGTAACAGTTTGAGTGGTTATTTTACCATAAATATATATTGATGAATTATAAGTTTGTTTTGTAGAGTTTAAGAAAGAAACTTGGATCAAATTATTGTATCTTAGTCTTAAAAACCTTAGTAGTAGAGAAGAGTTTAGATAGTTTCTTATATTATCAAAAGATAATAAAAAAAGTAAATCTTAAATCAGTAATATGTTTTTGATAATTAAAAGAAATTTATATAATCCAATAAGAGTAAATCAAAACTGCTAATAAATTTGTTGATCTTCAAGCATATAATTGTATTATATTTCACAAACTTTATTATTAGAAGACCTTAATAGAAGAAGAAATTTATAAACTACTTTGAAGAATCAAAAATCAAAGTTCAGGATACTGAATTCAATAATCTGATAACCAGGTTACTCTTAATACAAATAAAATTATCTTGAAAAAAATTAAGAAAGAATCATGTATCTTTCCAAGATGGAATAGTTTAATAAAGTATTAAAATTAGGTAGTATCTATATATAGCACTTATATATAGTTAAATTTACTATAAACATATATGTATAATACTTGTTAATATATATAGCTTATAAGATTTATTAAAGAAATATACTATAAAAGCTATAATATACATGTCAAAACAAATAGGTACTATAAATATATGATTAATAAAAGATGTAACATATATATGATTAAAGCTACTCAATATCAGAAAAGGAAAATGAGATCTATATAAAAATAAATAAGATTAATAGTGAACCAATAACAAACACATTATAACTAAAAGTACTAGAAATATAAAATCAAATTTAACAAGAATTGAAACAAATTCAAGAAAGAATTTAAGAATAAAAGTATATTGAAATATATATAGATAAATTTATAAAAAAATATAATAACAATTAAATTAAAATAGAAATAGAAGATATAATTATAAATATGGAAATACTTGAAAAAATAAAATTTAAAGGCAGATACAAAAGCTTTTCATCTTTAATAAAAGTAGAGCTAATAGCAATCTTGATTGCTATTATACTTTTTAATCTTAACATTGAGACAACAATAATAATAGATAATTAAAACACAATATATATATATAATCAAATATTTTACAAAAACAGAAAATAGTAAAAGAAACAAATATACTTATAACAATTCTTATTCATAAAAGAATAGAGGAGAAAACAGTAGCCATCAAACTCAAGAAAATTAAAGTATATACAAGAGATAAATATAATAAATGGATAGATGAGCTAGCAAAAGAAGACAGAAAACTTAACCATATATTGTATTACTGGATTGAAATAATGCCTTTTCAGAAACTTGCAGAAAAAGATATCAAGTATTATGAGAAAATGATTATCAAGCTATCCTACTGAAAGCAAATATCTCATATACCTTACAACTTCCAGCGATCATCATAACACCAACCGGACAATTGTCGCATCACAATATCTTTTTTGGAAATCATAATCTCAATGTCTACTGGATTAGCATATAAAATAACTTTTCATAAGAAACAGTACTTATACAGATTATGGCATCAAATATCATATTAATTTTATTTAACCACCCTCATATGGGGTTGAACTATAGTTGTTGTCAAAATTAATTAATACTATTAATTTAATTATGATGCATATTGTATTGTCAAATAAAGATTATATGTCATATTGCCGTAAACTCAAAATAAAAAGATAAATAATTTCCATCTGCATTTTATATATTTATTAATATATTCTATTTAACTATATTTTAACTTTATATTGCTTTATTTTATATAAGAAAATATAATTCCAATTCTTTAATAGTTTATTGGTTGTTTTAAAAAGCAAGCAAACTTCTGACTTTATTTGTTAAAATTTTAATATAACTGGTTACAAACTTTTAATGGTATAAGTACAATTTCAAAAAAATAATTTTATTAATCAAAAAATAAAAAATTTTCATCTAAATTTAAGCAAAAATACACAATACTATAATATTGATTCTATTATTATTGTTTATAATAATATATCAAAAAAATTATTTACCTAATTCTTCATTAAGTATTGCTTCAAAATCAACATTATGATCTCCATGATTTTTTGTTGATTTCGATTGAACTTTACTATCTAAAACAATATCTTTTTCATTTTCTTTAAAATTAAGTATATCTAAATTTATAATTTCTGCTATAAGTAAATTATCATTATTTTCTATATCACTATCTAAATTTTCATTTTCTAAACTATCCTTCTCTTTAATAAATTCAAAAATATCATTTTCTTCAGTTATAGCTGTAGTAATTTCATGAATTGCATTTTCAAGTTCATCTTCATTCAAATTACTACTAGAAAATTTTAATTCAGATTTTGCATTTGTAATATAATATGA